TCTCGATGGACTCTGCTCCTATCTCATGTTATCTTCGGCCGAAGCTGAGACACTTACACAGGAGTGGGAACATTGAAGGCACTGTTTAATTCCTCTACCTCAGCGACCAAAAAGAATAAAGGGCCATCGAAGTTGATCGACAAGTTGCATGGCCTCCAGCTATGGCACTATCCAGTCACAATCAAATGGGAGGATCATCCTGGCTTTCTTTAAGTAATCAACGGTAAAATTTGACTTAAGAAGCGTATCATTTTTCACACAAATCCGCCTTAGCTTGCCTCACGCAAATGAGGTGTGCTGTATGACATGGAGATGGTTGTTCTGTTGAACCATAAAAGCGATGATTGTTCTGGGTACAGTAACTGTGACGTAATCAGGGATAATTGGTAATATCATGTAACCGATGGATCTGTAAATGACAGGGGTCCTATTTTAGACTCTGAGTATAGCTCAAGATATCAGGCTAGTAACCTTGCTGATCTGACGTACGCAGATGGTATTGTCCTGTTAAGCACTATAGGGAGTGGACCCTGTTATCCTGACGATTCCCGCAAGATTTGCAATCTGGCCGGTTTCTTAACACCTGGAAGTCGAAAGATAGGAGGAACCAATTTGCAATGATCGATCTATAGGTGGAACAAGAAGGTCAAACCCTCCAGGTGGTTGACCAATTTATGCACTTCGGTTCTATCATCTTCAGTGATTGCACCATCCAGCAAAATTGAATAGAAGCTTCGCCTTACACTCGCATGCATTTATAGATCTGTCTGTTATTTGGGCTGATGAAGAAGTCTTTCTACGAAGATCCGTCTATATCTTGCTTCCGTCAGGTCAAGATGAGGATTAAATAGCAGAAGCACAAAAGAACTGATTGAGCTCTCTCTCTGGACGCAGTTGATATAAACGCTTGTGGAGATTAAGAAAAGCAGGTTAGCTCTGGTAGGCAAACTGGTTGAGCGTGCACTAGTTACTCCATACTGTGAGCTTCTGGTGAGGGAGAGGAGACATGACAAGCGTCGACCAGGAGGCCAGCATGTGACATGAAAGAACATGAAAGAAGTAGATCTGCTTCGGAGAAGAATATTTCCTTCTACAGTGCAGCAACCGATTCCTCATAGCAAAAGTGTCGTGAAGCTACGAATTCAGCAGACAGCATATATCAGACATGTTCTGCTTATGTAAACAGCTCAAAGTAATGACCTCAACAAACATAAACACACACAGACAAAATTTAATTACTTACAATAATTTATTTCTCATTGCATCGTTAACACGTTTCGCAGGAGGGCATTATCCCTTTGCCAACCGGAGGATTCTGAGAGTTCCAAAATATCTAACTGATGCCAGTACGCTCCACTCACTCCCGACTATTTGCGCAACGCGCTTTCGTTCGTTAACAGACGCATGCTCCATGAAACGGAACGGTCAGGTGATCGCGTCTTCATCTTAAGCGTTGTAACTTAAACACATTACTGTGTCCTGCTCTGAGGCAGGTACTCCACAAATTTCTCCACAATTTTCACGATGCTCTGTTCTGACTTCCAGATACGTTTTGCTCTAGCATATTTGACTCATTATCAACGATTGTATGGTGGCTTGCATATAAAGTTACAAGTCATTCTGAGTTATAATGTAAAGTTTCTAAAGAAGATGAAGATGATGATAGAAGGGCGTTTTGCAATTCACGTTTCATTTCAAATAAAGGTTTGTTTAGAAACGTCAGTTGCAAGATCCGGATGCCATGAACATATTTTCTATTTTCCCGGCAAAATGAAAAATAAACATGAATGGCCTTGGCTTGATGACACAGCTGCATCGTTTTGCCACTGTTGCCATAACTCTAAGGTTTATTTTGCACTTGACTGGGGTACAGAGTCAATATTTTCTCATAATTTATTTCAGAGGAGATCCCCGTCAAGTCCGCAAGCGATTGAGCAACCTCTTCAATGTGAACCGAATTTCGTAAGAGAACCGGAGTTACAAGCTTGACGGTGTCTAGTGTTGCCAGATGATTGGAAAGGCGAATGTGCGAAAGCTTTTGAAGGTGGCATCGCTCCTACTGTTAGACTCTTGTTTCTCTGTAATGTATGCAGTTAAAATCTATCTCTGCCCTCCAAACTTATCTGTTCTTAAATTTATCCCTCTTTTGCTCAAGCCGTTTCACACAGCATGTCAAATTTTTATGTACTGCAATACTACGTCGTGACTCATCAAGCATTATCGGCTCTGAGAAAAATGAATTTCGCCAGGGTGACTTTCACCGGATAGAAAACTAAAAGTGCCCTTGAGACTCAGTCTCAATTAGTCGCCATCCTTCAGTCGCAAGCAGCCATAAATATCTTATGTCCCAACATTAGGGATTTGTGCATAGACTCAAGGAAAATTCAGATGAATCGCTGAAGCCACTTTTCCCATTATGAATTCGTGAAGATCTGATTGTGACAGCTGTTGTTGACCTCTCTGAATGAGATACGGAGGCTGACACCAGGTGAACTAGTAGGCAGCTGATGTTTAATAATGGAAAGACGCATTAATTTGCATCTGCAGTAGCTTTGACTTCGTGTCATGACCATTTGCCACAGATCTACTAAGAGTGCATATAACAGCTGCAGTACCGACAGGTACATTAGAACATGTGACCTGAACCACAAGATCAGCGACCAAGGCCTGCCGAAAACCTTGACCTAGGCCTGCGAAAGAATTGATGATAAGACGGTTTCATGGAACTCATGATTCCTCATTAGGCAGCTTCATACAGAGAATTAATTTGTTTTCATAATCCAGAGGAGTGAATTACAGTAATTACAGTACATATTCTTTTCAAAGAAATTAAAACCTACACGTTTCATGTACTTAAGCCACGTTGATCAGTCGAAACATTTATTAAATCAACTAGTTTTGTTGTTACTGAAACAATAATGTGTGCTAAAATTTGTGACAAGTCGAAAATTGGCGAACGACGAAACTCCCCTCCTGTTGCTTCCGAGGTCAAAGACAGGTTGGCTCAGTTAAATCTCTGATTATAAACCGATTTCACTGGTTTCGCGCGTTATCTTGTTATGAATAACAGTGCATCATGGCTAAGAAGAATGAGATCGAAATTTGCAACAATCGCTACCGTAAATCAAATTGACCCACATCACTGCAATACAGGTAAAAGCCGGAAAATGCGGGTCCTCGTGAATCACGAATTTTCTGCATGCAACTGTTGCTATAACTGTACGAGACACACCTAATTTTGTGATCTGTTAATGCTGTGATAAGTCAGCTCTGATATGATATGATATGAGTTGCCTTTGGATAACAGTCGGTGGAAATGCTGTTTAATTTATAGATGAATAACGATTCACAATGTACTGTTTCATAGATGCTTTATCGTCAGAGGTTTACCATGAACAATTCAGTGATGATATTCAAATAATTTGTTCGAAGATATGAAAAATTCGGAGTACCACAGTAATGTTACTTAGAGTTTAGCCGAACTATATGACAGGAAATTCTTCCAGAGTTCACTTTAAGATAATTGCCAGCTGGTTCTTAGGAAGTTTCGATGCATTCATAGAATTAGTGCGAAATCTTTGCAAAGGATGCGTTTAAAATGTACTGCCAAAGATGTACTGCTATTACTGCGGGAAAACGTTTTACTAAAAGCCGATGTGTCTTGTGTTTCGTTATCTAAGCAAATAACATCATTGGGACCGAACCATGATATTAGGATTAATATTATTTGTGTTGGTGGCGAAACATAACGACTACTACTAGACACTGGTCCATCCCTACTTGGTGTTTGGGTTTCCTAACCATGTATCAAGAAAACAGTCGATTGATAAATTATGGGCCCAAAATTGAAAACTCTTTGAAGAAACTTTTTCACTTGCACTGCTCTTCAGTAATTGGTTTCTTCACATTACACCGCCTGCCATGTTTGCGCAACGATATGAACCATAAGCGAAAAGTTCATCCTGCACACGTACTGCTAGACACAGTGCAGTTGTAAAGAGGTCAGCACTTTCGGACTTACTTAAACAAATATACAGAGTGCTTCGTTTATGACAACCGAATATATTGGCAAAGGATCGTTAAATGCCGCACCTGGCATCGTGAACACTTTCACATCACATAAGGATTACACTCTTACCCACGCGTTCTACCTTGAACGTTAATTAATATATGTAGGGTATCAACAGTCCGTCTGCCCGACTTAATTTCCTCAGCGGCCGCGCCATAAGCGCAAGTCAACGTTCCACCACTTGTTAAGAAGTTGAGTCTAATGCTGCCACTGTTGACCAGAAAGTTTCGTCATCTGGTCGTCCCAGGGTATTAGTGGAAGATTGAATGGGCATCTGTCACCCATAGGGTGCAGCTGATAACTATGGATGTACACATGATGTCCTTCAGATGGGCCAGATGGCAAACTCATCGTCTCTTTGAGTTGCAGATGGCAGTAATCCAAAACTGTGTCCGACACTGAAGTATGGCCCCAAAAGGATGTCTTGCACGTTCTTCTTTCTATTGCCATTTGTGCTACATTTTATTTTTTTCAGCCTTGGTGGTAGAGCAGTACTCAGTCATCCATGTACTCAGTACTCAGTATGTAGTAGCACTCAGTCGTGTAGTACTCGAGTCATACGTCATGGCCGGCTGGACGGCAGAGTCAAACAATCCTTTCTTTACGGACATGGAGTTCGTCATTCAACAATGATATTCTTATGTGATTGAAATTTGCCCATGCCGCTTTGCTGATTCTTTCTTCTGCTGATCTCGCCGTTCATAAGCTAACGTAGCTAGTGGCTTTCACCCCTTTTCAGCCGTCATTGAAGAGGGGCAGTGTTCGTTCTTATTTGTTTCGTCTAAGAGATGTTCATCAGCAGACTAATGGTGCATAACTCTTCCCGCAATCGCACAAAAGTATTTGCAATTCCGCAGGGTCTTTGGAGAAGAGCAGTTAGGTGAATCGATCTTAATGCCGCGGCCCTAATTCAGACTGCTAATGGTAGATTCTAACACCGTCGCAAAGCTTTAAGCAACGTGGCGTCTCTTTGGCGTACTTCTCCTTTGATGTTGGTTCGAAACGGCTCCCCAAACAGCTCGATGTCGGCTGTGGTGTCAGTGTTAAGTTTTTCGACTGGGTCACTGTAGACCCGGTTCATAACGTAGTCGCGCCAGGCATTCAGCATGGTGTCCAGCTCGATGGAAGCGAACGCCTTTCTGAAGTCGAGGAACACGTACCAGAAGGATGAATATTTACCACTTGGGAATATTTCTCTGTTAACTGCTTCACGACGTGGATGCGGTCTATGCTTGAGAACCCAGTTTAGAAGCCAGCCTGTTCTTTACTGGCAAGCGGCCCCAGGTCTTACGGATACGGTGGAGCACGATGCAAATACACCTGTGAGAGGGTAATTATGTATCACTAGTTCTGGAGGTCCTGAGCATCAGTTTTCTTGAACAGAAGAATGGTCATAGCACTCTTGCATGTTTCTGTTGTGCTCTGCAAATCGTTCTACATGAGCCGTGAACAAGGTCATTTCTCTTGACTGGAAATGTTATGGTTCTATGCCGTTCCAACCGGAAGGTCTGGCGTTCTCGATCGCTGGCTCTAGTTGGCGCAAGTGACATCGGCAACGCTTTCAGGGGAGGCATGCGACAGCTTCGGCTGATGAATCTTGTGCCATGCTTTCATACCACGGCGATCAGTGGTTCTTCGCTCTTTAGTGCTACCGGAATCCACCTTTGAGGATGGTGCATTTTTCTGCGGCTTTAGGCTAGTGTTCTTTAATGCAGCCTTTTTAAGATCTGTTCTCCTGTACTCGTCATAGTCCTATGGAATTTTCATCAATATGTCGTTACGTAACAGAGAGTATTGATAACCAAATGGCGCGTAAGCCTTTATTCTGGTTCTTCTGGCCAATAACAGCACTGGTGCGTTGTTTCCTCACTGACACTGCTGTCCCGCTGGATAATCGGATGGTAGTTTTCAAGGTTCTTTTGATGGCACATTTTAAACATCATTTTGAGATCTAAGAAAACTATCTATCAAAGCAGTAGATGGAATAACTGAACGAATGTTTACCTGGTTATGAAATGTAAGAGTGATGAAATACGAAGATGAGCATCAAAGGGATTATTTGATGTGCTGGAAGAAGTTCTATTCACCTTGCTTTCTTCTTAAGTAAAACTTGGTTAGATTTTAATTATCAATGCCAGATGTGCATCGCAAAAACGCATCAGTCTGCGCTTATAGACTCTTAGGGAAATCATTCAGATAGGTCACGACTGAATGTTATTTGATAGGCTAGCAACAAGTATAATGGGAGAGCTGCTATTCGTGGTAACTATTCCAGAACACAACTATTGTCTATAAACTTTGGTTGATCAACCCTGTTGGCAACAAAGGGCACAGCCGTGTATATAATTCAGCGGGTTAATTTCGATCAGACAAATAACATCTCTGTAATATTGAAATAATTGTTGATGCATACCTACAGGACCAATATTACAACTGCCCTTTATGGTTCTGCAGCAATTTTCAGGAAATGTTCCAGAGTCATTCGGAAGGGGCATCCATATCAAAAAATCTTTTTCAATTTTTGAATTTTGCTTTCATTTTAAACGCAAACGTCTTGATATTTGAGATTGCACATAGCCCAGCCCTATTTGGCCTGTCAAAATTTACCGTTGGTTTACATCTAGCGTGTGTCTCCTATTGAGGAGAAATTTGCTGCCAATCATACGACTGTTTTCATACGTTTTAATGCTGAACAGAAAATAAAATAAAAGGCAATGAATTATTTGCATGGCGAAAATTAAAGTTAGAGGCAAGAATCGCTTGTTTAAAATGATATAATTTTCGTTTCCTTCATAACTGAATTTGAAGGCCTAATGCGCTGAGACTCTTTTCTAAGCGCTTGGAAGGCCATTTGAACAAAACATAGGCCCCCGGTATTTCAGTAAGCCCTGATTCATCTCGCTAAACCATTCTATCTAGGACGATTCCAGCTGTATTTTGCTCTTTACTAGCGGTACTGCATAAACCGCTGTATCTTTTCAGTTTTCGCAATGGTCACTTATCTTCTCTGATTATCTCAACGTTCCTGACCCTATGCCAGCGTTTGAGCTTGGGCAGAGAATGTCTGAGGCTGGATCAGAGTCCTTCCATATCTATACATTTGTTTCAGTCTGTCATTGGCCAAATCCGTTGTCTTCGACTGGTCGATTGGGCAAGTATCAGTTGCTACACATTCTTTTCCGAAGCCATTCCCATAAACCATCGTAGCTGTGACTTCTCAATTTGGAGAAACGGCAAATTTACATTGAGGTTGTCGCATTTGTCTGAACACCGGACCACGTCAAGATGCGGGAGCACCGCAATTCTTCTCAGAAGGCTGATTTCAGCTATTTGTACCCAAAATCGAAGCTTTTCAGTCGCGGTTCATGAATCCTGACGGTAGGTGAAAAATCGGTATGAAAATCGACTTGAACATAAAGGGCTTCAGACACAGAATAGCCACCGGCTATTCCAATCCGTCAGTCGATCTCTTCCTCAAATTTTCCATCAGCAGTAAACATGACCCTTGGGTACTTGAACTTCTCCACCTATTTCGCTTTTCGCTTTTCTCTGTTTAACTGAAGAACATAACGGACAAAAGAACCGGAACTCACTAGGCTTTTGGTTTTATACAGTTTTATACATGTTCACACTCATGCTAGTCACTTCGCACTCGGCTGCGAACCTCGCCAGAAAGAGCTGGTGAACAGTTTCAAATCGTCCCAACAAATTGGGTCGACTGCCAACAGCTAACGTGGCGTCTCAACACCTCGTACGCTGGTACAGTCGTCGCCCCGGCTGAGCCTAATGATCCATGTACAGCACAAACAGGAGAAGAGAGAGAACGTAGACTAGGCGAAGAAAAGTGCCCACATTGAAAAATCTCGTCTAAACGCCATTTACTCTGTTCGATATTAACATGTGTTAATCCTGGATTTCCCTTTGTTTTATTATTGGCCCCTATGCCAAATACTGACAGTATTCAGAAGACCAGACGTGATAGAGAAGATGAATGGCAAACTACTGCGGAAAGAACACTCACCAAACTCTGCGTTCTTCTGAGCATATTTCCAGCGGTTGTCATGCCATCCTGTCGAATATCCATGAGCTATAGGCTCTTATTGCCATGTCTCTGCTCAGCAGCACTTAGCACTCATGCTACTCACACGTAAAAAAATTGGCTACATCCTACTGTCGATGAGAAGATCCAAAATTTAAACACTTCTGTTTGCTGCACCTTGATCGTCGCGGAAAAAATAAGTCTCGTTGTGATGGTATAATGATGTTGATTAATTTGATCTGGTGTGCAAACTTCAGACATGTTTAAGTTCTGCCAAGACGATATTCAGTGACTAATCGTTGAGTGCAATCTAAGGTACCTAGCGGCGTATTTCCTCAATCTTGTTCCACAAACGCCCAACTACTAATGCCTGTTTGGAGATACTTCGTGATATTCTTAGCTCCGGTTTGAACGGTAATCTGGTCGTACCTCATAGGCGCAGTTAGCTCACAGGGCTTAACACCACTAACTAACGTTGGCCTCATAGACTCCATTTAGTTTTCCACATCCAGCAATCCTGATTGTACGGGCCTTAGAGTTTGGCACCTATGGGTGCTTCTGGCCACTGTGTCCTTCGTTTCATATCACATATTTGCAGCAAACAGGGGCAATGAATTTTTATTCAGCACAGACGTAGTTCTGCTATTCAGAGATCATTGGATGTTGAAAAGATTAACCAATTTCAGTTTGTAATAGAAGCACAGATTGGGTCGTTTTCCACCACGATGACGCAAGCAAATATGTTGTAGCCGGGCGTATATCAATTTTGCCGTCGATACCTGTTACCTCAGGAAAGCATTTACATCTTGAATGTTGGCTGCTGCTCAGGTTGCGTTAAACGGCAGAACTGGCGAAGAACAAAGACATAGCGCTGAAGAAAGCAGTCTGTACATGCCTATTGAGCAACTGATATCTGAAATAGCTCGAATCAACCATGAGCTCTCCGCTGCCATCTTCGCCTGTACAAATGCGAAGAACAACTGAGCCTCGATTAACCGGCAGTGCAGTCGGACGAGGGCCCTGGATACGGATCGTGAGATTCTAAGAATCTATTTTTTATGGTTTGAAAAGTGGAATCAGCAATTGATTCTCTTGACAACTTTTGGCAATAATTGTAAACCGCGAAAACGGCATATCATCGTACATCATTTCGGTTGATGGCGTATGTTGGCAGTTCTAGAAAATCAATACCTCTACTACTGAAAGATTAGCGAGCTTTGGTACCATAGCCTCAAAGCTTCTCGCTGCCTCACTTTCTGTAGTGTTTGCCGGACTGGGCAACCGAGGTCTATCAGAAGGGGCAGTGCTGGATTTATGCCAGATGATGTGAATAATCCCTGTTCCTAAATCTTCTACGCTGCCTACAGCAGCTAACTGGTGACTATTACCCTCAAATGCTTCGAGAAAAATCGTCTCTCCGTCGATTTATTCAAAAGTGTTAGAACATGTCTATCCGTGGCAATTCGGATATAGGCGGAGGCGCAGTACTCCTGTTGCGATCACTGTAGTTGTCAGCACCATTGCCAGCAGACCTCGACGAAGCGCAATCATTAGTATGGAATCCATCCCTCTCTGTACAAACCTCAGTCTACAACGCGCGGGCAAAGTTTCAGCTGCTCAGAGCCAGCATTGTTGAAGAGTCTTCGTTGTCAACCTGTTGCCACATATTACTCGAGGTTCCGATAGTTCAATCAGGTTGCCAAGAAAAAGTCTGTGGCTTCACTTACCTCGCGATGTCACTCATTTGATACTACATCAACTGATGATATTTCTCTAGTGGCTTCAGTACAGTCTACTTCTCAATTATTGCCTATCTTCGTCTCCTTTTAAGAAGTGAGGGTACGGTTGAGCGAGAATCATCTAACTTTTGATCCGAAGCAATCCATGAACTATAATTTCCATCGTACAGACGTGTAAACCGAGTGTGGACGAAACTTGCTTTCCCAACTGGACAGTTCCGCAAGAAATTGTTCGAAAAACATCCCGTGGTAAAATGGTTGGGATTGATCATGAATGAGATTCTTGGCAGGGAGCAGAAAATGAACGGAACGGTTGGAAAAGTGCTGCGATCGGCTTCGGTGTACAAGTTGAGGAGGTAACGTGTTATATCAAAAGTACCTCAAGACTCTATCGAATTTTGCATTCGAGTGCTCTTCTCCCCCGCTGCACTGATCTACATCTGCAGCCTCCTTGAGAACACAACTGATTCTTATTCGAAGCGTTTAATGCTGCTTTGCTGACTAGTACAACGTTGAAGAGTTGGGACACATACCAACTACATGCGTGATAGTAACCGGGTTGCTTCTGGACGGTCATATTCCAACATTGGCTTTCGAAGTGGCCAAGCACAAGATCCGTGTACATTCCTTGCTAGTGCCGGAGAGAGGCTGATCCAAAATACGTGGTTCCCTTCGCTGTCGAATGTCTGATCGATCCCAATATTGAATTGTCTTGTTGGACAGACTCTGTTCAAACTGGTATAGATCACTTTCAAAAAGTCTATCGTGAGACGCTGATCTTCATTTCCATCCTGTC